AGACATGCAAGAGGTTCGAGCAAATTGGGTCAAACATCTTAAATGCAGCTTTCCAGCGGCTGCAGCATTTAATGTCACAGAGGTTCCAGGCCATCAAAGGTCAGATGCCTCGAAGGGAGTCGGCGAGGCGCAAGCACCCTCTTGTGCGGGAACATGACATTGTTGAGACGTTACACATGCGCTTGATGCTTCTTCAGATGTCCTTCGGCAAGCACATTGAAAGGAAACACTGTTGCTTCTTTGCAGGAGATGTGAGTATCAGGGATATGTGAATTCTTTATCTGGTAAGAAAATTCATGTAATAGTTCTGACTTTTTTTTTTTTAGTTGTCTGATTATGCTATCACTGAGGCCAAAATTTAAAAAAAAATGTCTATCCATCAAAGTATAGTAATTATTATATATTTAAAAATGTTATTTACATTTTGGTTAGAGGTGGTACTTGGTTGGAAGTAAATGCAAAATGAATCCATATTCTTACTTCTCAAGGACAAACCAATTTAGTGGGCCATATATGAAACAGTATATTTTGTGGGCTATACAATCTCTATTCCAGGACTTAAAAGCAGTGATAAAGTAGATATTTGTACATTTTGCAGATCTTGGATGAAGTACATCGTATTTTATGGTACATTAAGAACACCCCTACACTAGGCAGAGCATACAAGGTGACAGATGAACTGTTTGATCTCTCCTCAATGGCCATGGAATATTTCAAAGAACACATAGAACCAAGACTTCCAGAAATAACCTGTTTTGGGTCAGACTTCCTGGACATCACTACTAGATATTCTGGTAAGAGTTTTGTGTTTTTTCTATATGGCTCTTACTTAGTGAGTACACACCACAGAAACACTAGGGTCGAATGCCCTCAGTGAGCCATGATTTCAAGTATATATATTTACTTTACTCTACGATAATATTGCTGTACAAAAAACCTAGGAAATGAAATGATGAGTTCTGTCCACACTAGTACTCCCATCAATCACATATTCTGTGTGTGTGTGTGTATGGATATGTGGGGGGATATATAGTTGTGTTTTCATATACATTGTATCTTTTTTATTTTTTAACATTCAGTACCATTATATCACTGACTTTGCGAAATTACAGACGGCTGCAGCGTAAGGCCCTCGGGGGGCAGTGCAAGAGTATCGGAGCCAGAAGATGACATCCCAGAATTTGACACGCTGCCCCCCTCCAACATGGTCCTTCGCAAGAGGATTCGCCGCATACGTCAGGGCATGAGGAGGTATGTTCATCTTGGGAGCAGTAAATTGTTGTATGGCCTTCTGTGTGCTGGGGTATGGTTCTTATTACATGCAAATTTTGATGCAGTCACTTTTTTCTTCTTCTTCTTCTTCTTCTTTTTTTTCTCTTCTTTTCTTTCTTTTACATCTACTACATGCATATGCCCCTCCAGCTGTTCTTTTATTTTCAATGACTCAGATATTTATTTTTATTTTTCTTCTTAATAATTCGCATCAGAAATTTTTCCTCCCTGATTTTTTTTTTCCTTTATTTATTGATTTATTTTATTTATTTAATTTTATTTTACATTGATTTGTTAATGGCCTTCCACAGGTATAACACACAGCTTGTTGCTTTGAAGAGGGAGCTGAAGAGTTGTAAGAGCAAGCTGACCGACCAGCACAAGCAGATGATGGAGTATGCAACACGCATGGATGAATATGACAAGAAGTTTGAAGAATCTTCAAGAAAGTTTAGCACGGTTCTCCAGGTAAGAGAGTAAAATTAGCATTGGAGACTTTCTATTAGCAAACAAAGCTGTAGATATCTTTCATGATTGACTAGAGTTTTGAAGTCCGGGTATTAAACAGCTAATCATTTCAGGAATCCAGATTTATTTTTTTACCCTAATAATGTCCAAGGTTTGATGGTTACTCAGATATTATGCTTAATATATGGTTTATAACTATTTCCTCATAATTTTCATGAAAACCTTTGTTCTCTAAGCTATGATTCTAAAGAGGACTGCTGCTTTCAGGAACTGAACAAGTGCAAGACTGAGCTCCAGTACTGGCGTTCCAAATCCCCCGCCCACCCTCTCTTGTGCTATGGGTGTGGGCAAGCTGTGGGAGAAGGGGCTAACCAACAGCTCCAGGCTGGAGTGTTAATGCAAGGTGGTGATGAAACAGTGGTGTTTGTTCCCTTGGCTAAAGCTTCCTCTCAGGAGGGTGGAGAGAGTGCCACTCCCTCTGCTGTCTTTGGCCGTGGTAGTGGACGCAGTGGTTTGTGTGCCATGAATGGCTCCGTGAGGAATCTCGAGCGAGTGTTTGATCTGGAACTCTCCCCTTCAGAAACTTCCGCTGTAGAACCTGCCTCACACAGTAAAGTAGTGCCTGAAACTCTTCCCCTGGTCAGAGATACAAAACCTGAGTCTGGCTCTGAAGCTCTGACACAGTCACAATCCTTATCTCAAGCTCAATGTCTCCATCTCTCCTCTCTGCCATCCACTCCTGCCTCACAAAACAGCAGTAGCTCAACCTCTCCAAATACTTCGACATCTCAGACTTCTTTATCTCAGGCAGGAGTGCCACTGGCTCTGTCACCAGTCACCCCTACTTCAGTGAGCTCTCCTCCTATAGCCCCTTCACACACCCATTCAACTCTACCTGGCACTCTACCTCATGTCCATTCACAGCCATATTCTGCCTTCCATACTTGCGGTGCCTCTCACCAGACAGAGCAGCACCGCTGGGATTCCAGCCAGGAGTGTGCTGAAGACTTGTCGATGTCACGCTCCTTCAAGCATGACCTTTATGACGATGGTGATTGTGGGACCTTAAAGCGCCGTGTCAGTGATGAAGAGAGCGACAATTGTGATACAAATGACGACACTGTGGGTCGTAGGGTCAAGGAGCGCAAAAGAATTAAACTGGATGTTTTGTAATAGAAGTGGAGAGATTCCTGGCTTTGTCACTGGTTGCATGCAAAAAATATTTTCATGGAGGGATTATTTGTAGGGGAAAAGAAGAGAAAGAAATGCTTTTAAGAGAAGTTCAGTGAAAAGTCCCTCTTTTTGTTCAGAATAATGAAAGTTGTGTCTGTTAACAAAGCTATTTTTATTATCGTAGTTACTTTTTCAGTGTTTAAAGAAATACTCTTTCAGCATTATGATGTTTGTTTTTTATTGATAGTTCTTTTCTTATTTATTTTTTAATGTATTGCATATTGAACTTCTAAAATGTCTTGGTTGTAAATGTTGCAACAGCTATTGCAGTTAACATTGCCAATAACTTTTATTTTCTTTCTATCTTTCTTTATATGCATATATTTTAAGATCAGTAGGTTAAAAGGGAGTTATAAGTTGGATTGAAATATTTTGCTCATATCCTTGTTCAGTTATATAGTTTATAAGAAATATGGCTGGTATTAAATGTGCAAAGTATCAAGAGGAAGCAAAGTGATAAGAACTGTCAATAAAATGGCTTTAAGTATGTAAAATTAAGTGGAGCAGCTACACAAATGATGAGGATGACAATCCCGAAGGTGCTGCAGAATTTGAAGTAGTGTGAAGTTGAGAGATTCCTCTTGATGTTGGAAGGAAGGCCAAGCGGGGTGAGCAGGAGTGGTCACTTGCCGCTGTGACTACACTCGGTGGGTGTGCTTCTGGTAAGTCTGGATTTGATGAGGGGTTAGGGTAGAAGGGTGGGTGGGGCAGTGAAGTATTTGTGGATAACATTGGAGGGTATCTTGTGATTTTCAAAAAGGAATGATCCTAGTAGTGGCTACAGGATATTTTAAATGTATAGCATTGACCCTAGCATTGACATAGGATGATTGGGATTGTAGATGATTCTTGGATTATGAGTCCTCTTAAAGACAGGAAAAAAACAAAAATTAAAAAAAGACATAAGCTGTAAAAAAATGCGTGATTTTGTACTGCAACAAAAAGCTGTATTTTATTCTTTGTAAACAAATATTGTACATAGTATATGTAACAGAAAGCTATATATAGATTAATATACTGCCTAGCAGTAAATGAGGAATGGTTCCAATGAGTGACAAAAGTTCTTGATGGATTGCAAGGTTGTCAGTAGCAATGCATGCCTTAATGTGCATCATTTCTTGTGGATCGGTATGAAGAAAGTTCAGTGTGGATTAACCAAACTAAGGATTTATGGAAAGCAGTTTTGGATTGAAAAAAATAGTTGAACCAAAGGCTTTAGAAGAAAGGATTAGCTTAGAGACTAGGAAAATGGTAAGGTTTCTGAGTTTTACAAATAAGAGGCTGTCAGGAAATTGATGGAAGACATCTTAGCATAGTGTGAAGGTTTGAACGAGTGCACTGGTAGGTAGACCTTGTCTGTATGATGATGGGAGCTTCTTGTACAGCATTGTATCTTCGTAGAGGCCAGTTCTGGGCATAGCATTTATAAATTTAATTGCTAGTTGTTGTGCAAAGAAGGTTTTGGCAGATGTCACTTTTCAGCGACAGATGAGTTAGTTTATGCTTCCAGTCTCATTTAACATGTTCCAGGTAAGATCTTTACCACATTCATTAAGGGGTCCCACTGAGGGTATTGTTCCAAGTAAGACGAAGGCTGTACTAAATCTTTTTAATTACTTGAAACATAATTTACCAACATAGTCAGAGATAACGTCATGTTTTAATACAATACTGATATGTTTATTCTTACATTAAATGAGGATAATCATGATAAAGTAATGTAAGTGATTGGGTTGTTAATGACAAATCTATTATATATTTTAATAAAGATACAAAAGAAGAATAGCATGATTAACCTGATCATTTTTCTTTATTATTATTATTTTAGGTAACGTCATAAATTACAGAGGATAAATGGTTGAAATTAAGTTCCACATTTAATATCATGTATCAGAAATCGAAATGCCAAGGAAAGATTAACGAAGATCCTCAAGGTCCCAGATGAATTTCAAAAAGAATTTTCCTCCGAGAAAGAGAGAGACGTCGGCATGAACATTCGGTAGTGTGGTATGAAAGCCATAATGAAACTCAGATCCTGGTGAAGAATTTAGTCAGTGGTGTGAACTAAAATGGTCCTTTGAAAGATATACTACTAATACTATTCATGTGTCAAATGCATACAAAGACTGGCTTCATCTGTTAGTCTTGTTTCTTTTTATATGATTATCATTAGTTTAACCTTAGTTCTTATTGAATATTATTATTATTATTATTATTATTATTATTATTAAATTTTGCCTGGGCTTTCCTATCTCCTTGTAAATTAAAGGCCTTAGAGATGTACTGAAGGCCTTTTTAGTATGTCAAAAAAACATGTATTGCATGCCTGTTGAAAGGAAGATAACATAACATTATGGTGAGTGAGTAGAATGTATGTTGGAAATGTTTCAGTGGAGTAATTATCAAAGACATTACACATTTTGCTGATTCCATTTCCCAAAGCTGCATATTTGCCTGATGACGAAAAAGAGAAAGAAAAAAAAGACAAAAACAAAAAAACAAAAACATTGCATGCTTGCAATGGTGTGTGAGAGTTAACTGTACAATACTTCATATTTTTATAAATCCTATGAATGCCTGCCTTGTAACTCAGAATGGAAAATTTTCCCTCAAGTTTTAAAAGATTTAAGCGAAAGGAAAAAATAAGTGAACAGGTATAGTACAAAATGGAATTGTAACCCCCCAGTCTTTCACGTTCAAGGTTTTCTTGTGGTTATCAGTAGGTGCCAAGGAAGCAAATATGAGCCTTCATGCTTTGTGCTGATCTCCAAATTATTTCATTAATATCCTTTCTCATTAAGAGGGGGGGGGAGTCTGAATTTTATTGGCCTGTAGAAGTGTGGGAGAAAGGAAAAGATTTCTGCTTTAACCATTTTTCTTTTCTTTTTCCAAGGGAAAGCAGTGCCAAGTTGAAGGAACACAGTTGCTTTTGGCACCAGTTCTGGTATGATTTTATTTATGTTTGGATGATTTGGTCTTAAACACAAATGTTAATGTATTCAGTATACAGAATAATTCTTACTATTTTTATTTCTGTTATGCCCATAGGGTTCCAGACATCATTTAGTATATTTTAAGATATTCTAGTCTATTGGTTTTGTGTCAAATATAAATTTGAGGTGAGAATTATTCTTCAGGAGAGCTTTAGATCATTTATTATTTCATGTTCAAGTATACTTTTGAAAAATCATTTTGATACAGTATTTCTCTTTATGGAGATATACTATAACAGGTGATCTTGATTAACCCTGGACTAAAATCATCTGTATTTGTTCTTTGTAAATAAACTGCGTGTAATGCTTTGTTAAGATGTAGCGTGATTGATCAAACACATTGACCTTGTAAGGAGTGAGGGCTCAAGTGGCTGTATATTTAATGTTAAAAGATATATCTAATTTATAGAGTACAATCTTTCTAAGTAGTGAAAATTAGTCTCCCGAAATGACAGTAAGAGTGTGGGAACTTTACATAGGAATCGGCTGGATATAAGTAGTGCACTTTTTTGACTATAGAAAGTTATTTGAGGGGATGGGTGTTTGAGGTTAAAAGTGATTTTTTTTTTCCTTCCTTTTTTTTTATGGTGGAGATTCCCTCAACTTTTTTTTCTTTCTTTTTCTTTTTTTTTTATGCTGAGGCATGACTAATTAATTAGAAAATTTGTGATGTCATGACCTGAAAACCCACGAGGAAGATGTGAGAGTAGAAAATGTGGAGTGGGAACCTAAGAAGAAAACCGACTTTGTGATGGTTGGAACCTGGCTATGTATCGACTACATAATGTAAGGGAACCAATGATGTGTATGACTTCATAATGGGTGGGAGCCCATGATGTAATGTGACTTCTAAATAAAATCATGTTAATAAGTACATGAGTGGACTTCATTTTCATTCGTATTTGGAGGAGTGATGCATGTAATTTCTGTTTTCTTGGAGATGTGTTAGTTTGCATCAAAGATCCATTCGGTGATTGGTTTTCGTGCAGAAATAAATGGAAACTGTGCATAGGATATCAGTCAATATTTGTATGTCTATGTCGTTTATACTTCAGTTCGTGTGAGGACTTTATGTACCAGTTATTTACACCACCAGTCTTCACAAATATATGAGGAAAAAAAAAACAACAGACTCAGCAGAATATATAATCATAACGAGAACAGACATACAGAACTAAAAGGAAAGACTGGATGAGAAAATTTCACCAATAAACTGAGTCCCTTCCCCCCCTCCCCCTCCCTTTTCTCTCGAAACATACTCTACCAAGTCAACGTACACACACATTACTCATTGTGTCATATACAATCCCTTTTCATGCCACGTACCCACGTTCTTACCTAGCAAAAGGAAGCGAAGAAATTGACAGAACAAAAAGTCGGAAAAGCCGGTTTGGCACTTCGGAAACACGTAATTTTGCCTTGGTTCGTTAGTCATCACTGATGTGTCATCGCTAAAGTTTAATTACAGTGATTAAGGTAATACAAAATGAAATTTATATACTTCGTTTGCTATTTTCCGCCGAATCTATTCATTTCCTGACACGCTATTTTTCTTATTTTAATTAAAACTTTTCTCGCCAAACTTGATTATCTTCCCGAAACGATTAATATTAACGATTGACATTTTCGTTATTTTGCATGGAAATATATTTCGATCATATATATATGCACAATTATTTCTGCGTTTCCTGGTTCCCTCTTAACTATCATTATGTATAGAAATGTATTAAAGAGTGAAAATGCCGACCTACCTATCGTAATTTTCGAAGCAAGAACGCTAAATATATATTTTTTGGTCCATTTGTAATGAAAAGTTAATATCAATAATGTCCTATTATTATCATCACCGATGTTTGGAAAATTATGATATTGATAAGTGGCATGATTGAGTAAATCATTGCCGCTTTTATCAAGGCTGCAAAGTTTAAGAATTCGGACTTCGAAAATAAGATATAATAGTTTATGGTCGAAATGAACAAGTCCAAGAATAAAAGTGAAAGGAATGACAAACTCAATACAAAAACTGACACGCATGAACGATTATAACGGTTTTGCATGACAACAGGCACGGTTCTTAAAACATGTATGAAGATTAGTGTCATGACATAAATAAAAAAAAAAAAAGTACAAAGATAAATTCAATCAAACAACTACCTCAAACTTTTTTTTTTCATCAGATACCCCCATCCATTCGAAAAAAAGTGACATCAAAAGTATCTCAAGCTTCTATTTAAATAAATAATCACACAGATGACTGCGCATATTAGGTTACGTCAGTCAGTCAGTCAAGCGTAGCAACTGCCGACGGGGAAGCGGGGTCGTTGACTCCTTGCGTTTTCCTCGACGGGAAGACGAAAGAAACTCACTTGAATTATAACTTTATTTGAGTTTCGGTTTGATTACTTGTTTTATTATAATTTTCACGTTTTGTATTATATTTTCTTTTTTTTTTTTTTTGGTTTGTTGCTTTATTAGACATTATTTTTATCAGGATCATTATGTCATTATTGTTACTTGTATAAGTATTTTCATTATCATTATTATCATTACTATTGCTATCATTATCATCGTTACTATTGCTAACATCATCATTATCATCACCATCATTATCATCATCATCATCATCACCATCACTATCACCATCATCATCATCATTATAATTATAATAATCAGTAATCAGTCTATCATTTTTTTTGTGTATAAACGTCCGCGTCCTTGCATAAATGCGTGTTTATCTAGAGCAAGATCTACATAAGTATATAAAATCAATATACTTATACAGACCTTGCTCTTAAGTATTTACATAACCCTGCCTCCCTAGCTTGCTCGCGGTAAAGGGCAAGAAAACTCCCACTTTCTCTGCTCCAGCAAGCAAGGTCTCAGGCCTTAAGGCAAACATGACCTTACGTAAAATTTTCTGGAGGAACTCACGGCCGATGCGTTCGTCGGTTTGCAGTTTCCGCTCGATGAAACCGGGGGGGGGGGGGGGGGGGGGGGGGGGGGTCCGTGCTGACTGTGGTTGGTATATGTGTATGTATGCATATATGCCTACCTAGCTATCTATCTATATCACACACATAATACATATGTATACACACACACACACACATATATGCATATATATATATATATATATATATATATATATATGATATATATATATGATATATATATATATATATATATATATATATATATATATATATATATATATATATATATATATATATATATACATATACACATGTATATATATATGCATATACATATACATATATATATATATATATATATATATATATATATATATATATATATATATATATATATATATATATATATATATATACACATATACATATATATATATATATATATATATATATATATATATATATATATATATATATATATATATATATATACATATATACATATATATATATATATATATATATATATATATATATATATATATATATATATATATATATATATATATACACACATATATACATGTATACACTCAAACACACACACATACACATGCATATAGATAGCACTCGCTGGAGGATCCTCCAGAGCGTCGAATTCTGTGGAAATGATCATAGATTAGTTGTGGCAACTCTCCGGGTCCACTGCAGAAACCCCCGTCGTTTCAATGAACACCCTAGGGTGTTTCTTGTGAACAGATTGAGGGAGGGGGAGTATGCCCGGGGGTTTGAAGCTATCTCTGGTCGTTTCGCAGCACTCGGGGGCCTGACTGGCCCTGTTCTATTTCAAGCGTAAACGCTCGATGCAGCCCAAGAATCGATCGGTGAATGCCCAAGAGCAAGACAGAATTTCATCTCGCAGGAAACACTGGAAGCCACAGATGTTTGTATCGCGTCTCGACTGTCAGGGGATCACGACTTGCATCGTTCTCTGGTGCGCAGGACTAGGTCACTGCTGAGAAGAGACAAGGAATAGTTTATTAGGAATCTTGCAGAGGAGGTCGGAAGCCATTTGCTGGCAAATGACCTTCGTCCTGCCTACCAAGTCCTGAGAAACCTATACCCCAAGCCTTCCTTTCAGACGTCTACAGTCTGTTCATCAAGTGGCCAGGAAATCTCAAATTCTGTAGGGGGGGGCGGGTAGATTGAGTATTCTGAGCAGTTGTACCAGGACGATCCACCAACAATGAACTTGGATGCAGGTAGTGTCGAGATTCATTTGCCAGACCCATCCAGCTTGCATGCTGCCTGTCTGCCATCTGGCAGATTAGTACCATCCCCTCTTCCTTGCTGAGGGGCGTGATCATCTCTCTCTGGAAGGGGAAAGGGGATCGGTGGGACTGCAGCGCTCATTGCATTACACTGCTCAGTATACCGGGCAAGGTTCTCGCTCACATGCTTCTGAGATGTATCAGAGACCATCTGCTGAGGCACCAGAGGCCGGAGCAATCTAGATTCACTCCTGGTAAATCTACAATAGACTGTATCCTAGCCTTTCGAGTCATTGTGAGTTAGGGCGTGGGCTGCTTACAGCTTACATCGACCTCAAGACGTTTGATACAATGCATCACGAATCACTCTGGAAGATCCTGAGACTAAAAGAAATTCCAACAAAGATTACTGAATTAATAGCAAGCCTGTATACTGGTAATGGAAGTGCTGTAAAGTGTGGTGGGACCTGTCGAGTTTCTTCCCTGTTAGTTCAGGAGTGAGGAAAGGCTGTTTTCTTGTACCAACACTTTTCAACGCTTGCATGTCACTGTAGACCAACCCTGGGCAATGTAAAGGTTACCGACCTTAACTATCTGAGTCCTTGAAACTCTAGTGGCGGCTCTTGATACTTTAGCAGTGATGCGAAGCCCCTGGTGTTAGAAGTCTCCTGAAATAAAACCAAGATCCAGGACTTTGGGGGCTTGCTAGGAGATCCTGCTCAGTCGGTACGTGCTTGCGGCGGGAACATGGAGGTCACAGAGAGCTTTATATACCTTGGTAGTACAATTCATGACTCCGGGCTGTCAGACCAGGAAGTCGGTAGATGAACTGGCCCGGAAGCAGAGAAAACGAAATCTCTCAACAAGAGTATTTGGAGATGCCGGTAACTGTGCAGAAGGGCCAAGCTACGTGTCTTCAAGGCCCTGATACTGCCAGTTTTACTATACAATAGTGAAATTTGGACGCTATCTTGTGCTTTGGAATCTCGTCTTGATGCCTTTTGTAACAGGTCCCTGCGCCGGATCATGGGGTACAGTTGGCGGGACCATGTGTCTATCCTGAGACCTGTTGCTTGCACAGTACGTGATGGCCAACTCAGGCTATACGGCCACCTGGCTCATTTCCCACATGATGATCCTGCCCACCAGGTTGCTTCTGTTCGAGACAACCCTGGGTGGAGGAGACCTGTGGGACGGCCAAAGAAGTTGTGGCTTGGATAGATCGATCAAACCTGTCGTGAAGAGATAGAGATGGGCCGGGTCCCTGCCTGGCGTCTCGCCATGAGGGACCCTCATAGATGGAAACGAAGGGTGGATGCGGCTATGCAGGCCCATGTGTCTAGATGGGTAGATAGAAAGATAATGGATTCATTAACAGACAGATGTCGGTATTGGTGCATAGATGGATACAGATAAGATAAATATATAGATAGACAGATATAGATATAGGAATAGAGACATAGATGAATACAGCTATAAGCATAAATACATTAACTGATACAGATATGACTTGGATATATCATTAATAAAATGGATAGCAACATGACAACAAATCTCATAGGTAAGTGACGGCAACATTTTTTCTGGTTCATAAGATTATATCATATGGTATCGTTATTTTGCTGACTGTTTTATAATGGATAAGAACAATGGCACCCGCATTTATATTG